TGCATTATTATGCATTTCAGAAGATTGTGAATGGAGGTTTAAGGCTTCAAGTATTAACAAATCGGAACTATTCAAAGTGAGAGAATTCAATGAGAACCATACATGTCCGCTGAAGGACAAGGTGTATGAGCAGCGGCAGGCTAGTAGCAGCCTTATAGGTGGTATGATAAGGCCTAAGCTTACAAACCATAAGAGGAAATACACTCCAAGGGATATTATTGATGATGTGAAATCAGATTTAGGTGTAGATGTTAGCTACATGTTGGCGTGGAGGGCTAAAGAAAAGGCAATNAGCAATGAATTTTCTGAGAGGTGAACTGGCTGATTCATACAAAAATTTACCAGGATATTTATATACAATGGATATGACATATCCAGGTTCCCACATAAGAATGGTAAAATCGCCAAAAAATGAATTCATGTACGTGTATATATCCTTGTATGCCTTTATAAGGGGGTTTAATCATTGTAGACCCATTATTGTTGTGGATGGAAGTCACCTAAAATCTTACTACACCGGGACATTCGTTTCGGCAAGCACGTTGGATGGTGCAGGTGAGTATCTGAATTATAATACAATCTGTTAATATTTTTAAATATTGAAATACATTTTTTAAAAATAATTATACTCAATTGTATTTATAGGTCATATATTGCCACTAGCATATGGTGTTATTGATTCAGAGAACGATGTTGCTTGGACGTGGTTCTTTGAGCAATTCAAGATAGCATACGATGAAAGGGAAAACATGTGCATCGTTTCAGATAGAAATGAGAGTATCATTAAATCTGTATCGAGAGTGTATCCAGATGTACCGCATTTTGCTTGTATATGGCATCTATGGAACAACGTATATAAGAAATTCAAAAAAAGCCATGCCAAGTTGAGCGAGATATACTTCTCTATGTCAAAAGCATACACACAAGCTGAATTTGACAATCTGATGGAGAAGGTAGATATTAGGGTGAAAGAATACTTAGAGTTAGCTGGTTACGAAAAATGGACTAGGTTGTATGCACCTGTTAACAGGGGATGGACAATGACGTCAAATATTGCTGAGTCAATCAATGTCGCACTAGTTTCAACAAGGGAATTGCCAATATACGACTTCCTCGAAGAAGTTAGGAAGATGTTTGGACATTGGAATTTTAGTAACCGCAAAGAAGCTACACAGACATACACGACGTTTGGAAAAAAATACCAAGAGATGCTGACTTTGAATGAGGAAATGTCTACATGTATGACTGTAAGTTATATTTTAACGTCATTGTTGTATATAGCTTAATTGTTACAGAATTAATGGCATGAATACAACTGAATACAATGATTTTTTAAGTAGAACTACCATTAATATATATGAATACAACTATATTCAAACTCATAAAAGATATATTTTTCCGTAGATCTGATATGAATAGAACTGAATATAACTAAAAGCATGCTGCAAAAACTATTGGAATACATCAGAATATAACTAACAAAGCTGTATTATATGTAATTTTAATATTTATTGTCAATACGTATGATTCTAATGCTTTTGTTAGCATCCTATTGCCTAAAGTACAGCAGATTAAAACAGTTGAATTTAATTGAAATTAGCTGAATAGAACTGAATATAACTAAAAGCATGCTGCAAAAACTATTGGAATACATCAGAATATAACTAACAAAGCTGTATTATATGTAATTTTAATATTTATTGTCAATACGTATGATTCTAATGCTTTTGTTAGCATCCTATTGCCTAAAGTACAGCAGATTAAAACAGTTGATTAATTGAATACAACTGAATACAACTGAATACATCTTGAATACAAATGCAGTTGAATATATCTGACTACAGCTGATTAAAACAGTTGAATTTAATTGAAATTAGCTGAATAGAACTGAATAAAGATGTTGAATAAAGTTGAATATAACAATTGAATACAACTAACTATAGCTGATTAATACAGTTCAATTCAAATGCTTCTAAAGTATGATTCTAATGCTTATGTTAGCATCCTGTTGCCTAAAGTACAACAGAATTCTGATAAGTTCTGCACTAATAGCAGTTGGTATTGTGCTGGTCTAAATATTGATGTATTCATCTATATGCAAAAATTTCAGTTGTATGTAACTTATTAATTCAGCATTATACATTTGGTAATTCAGATATATGTGGTCAAAACTTATATTTCTATTTTTAAACGTAGGTGGTACCATCAACTGAATACTTACATACGTTTAACGATGGTGGGAGGAATTACACAGTCTGCCTATTAGAGAGAAAATGTGTTTGTGAGAGGTTCCAAGTTGATGAATTGCCATGCCCACATGCTTGGGCTGTATTGAAGATCAAGTTTCTAATGCCAGAAGAATATTGCTCTAACTATTACAAACCAAATAAAATTGTAATGACATATGATTTGCTAGTGTACCCGCTACCGGACAGAAATGACTGGAATATACCAGAACATGTTGCAGAGGAGGTTGTACTACCCCCCAAATGGAAAAGACCTCCTGGAAGGCCAAAGAAGAAGCGCGATAAAACATTAAGTGAATTGTTGCAGCCAAAAAATCAACATTCATGTAGAATATGTGGGCAGAGAGGACATAACAAGCGAACGTGTAGAAATGCTCCACGTAATAATAGTTAACACTCTGACATGTATTAGTGCTTCAACGATTTGTCAATACTTATGTTAACATTGTCAAGTAATAAATTCTCATAGTCAAGTAATATATTCTGAAATGACTTTCGTGAATAGTTTCTGAATACATATAGTTGAAATATTTTTATACAGATAAATACATATGCACTATACAGTTGAGTATAACTCAGTATGGATGAATACTAAAAAATACAACTGGATACAGCTGAAGTATTTTTATGAATAATACAGTTGAGTAGCACTGAATGTAAATGAATACATCAAAATACAATTGAATACAGCTGAATAATACACTTAAATACAACTAACTACTGTTGAATAAAACAAGTTGAATACAACTGAGTACATCTGAATACAACTGATTACTTAAAACCTGTTTAATACATCTGAAATTGTGTTCTTTAATATGTGTTATCTGAACTTGGAAGATACATTTAAGTGGATGTTGCTGAATACAACTGAATACAACTGAACTTGACAGTTAAATACAACTGAATCCAGAAAAAAATACATCTNATACTCACATACCACATCCTTTTCTTTGGCTACATTATCATTACTATCTGTATCAACATACCTGTCGAATATTTCAGCAATTCTTGTCTTGAATATACAATCAACAGTTGTATACTTGAAGTTTCTTGTTTGATTGTACTTTCCCTTCTTTCTCAAATAGTAGAATATGACGTCAATATGCTATACACAAAGTTAAGTACATNTCAGATTGAAGAATAAGCATGAATACCTATGAACAATTCAGTGAAACAATGATTGAAAAGTTGCAATTGTCATACACGAACACTGTTGATAAAGTGATAAGNCAATTGTATGTGAATAAAACTGTTGACTACAGCTGACTATAGCTTACTACATCTGATTAAAACAATTGAAAACAACTGAATATAGCTGAATAATACTGAATAATACAATTGACTACTTATGATTTAAAGACTTCAATATGACTGTCTACAGTTGAATACTGCTGAATACAGAGAAATGCAGTTGAATACATCTGATTAAAACAGTTGAATTTAATTGAAATTAGCTGAATAAAGATGTTGAATAAAGCTGAATATAACAATTGAATATAACTAACTATAGCTAATTAATACAGTTCAATTCAACTAACTATAACTAAATACATCTGAATACACCCAAACACAGCTGAATACAACTAAATGCAAAAGTAGAATAAAGGTGAATATAGCAATTGAATTCAGCTGACTATAGCTGATTAATACAGTTCAATTAAACTGACTATAGCTTGAATACAGTTGAATACAGCTTAATACAACTTAATGCAAATGAATAATACAGCTGAATATAGCTGAATAAAACAGCATGTTGTTATTCAAAAAAAATTAGTCAGTTAGGGGAAAAAACTTACGTTGTCATCCCATAGCTTCCCGTCAAACGATAGAAGGTAAAACCAATTTTTTGAATTAACTTGATCAACTCCGAAATCCAATGGTATATGAAGTGTTGACTTGTTCTTCTTGTAATGATCTTCCAAATTACTTCTAAAAGTATGGTATAAAAAATGTTATATACATTTTTAAAAATATAAAAACTTAATACACATACCGGGGGAAAACTCACCTCTGATCATGTCTAGCGAGAAGACCATCACGAACCCATTTGTCATATTCCTGAATGATTAATGTAGGATGTGGCCTCGTTATTGAATCATCCTCAAAGGGGTGTCTTTTTTCAAAAATGGGGGTCAACTTTACTGAGGTACCTGTTGTTCATTGAATTCGTGATTAGAGACTTTTAAATTTAAAAACCTTGAGGAAAGCTGAATCTTTACTTTACAAAAATACTAACCTGCAGAGTCGAAGTTAGATTCATAAGGCGAAGAGTACCATCTACTTGGTCGCCGATTCCTATGAGATGGTATTGGGGTTGATTCAGTTTTTTTTGCATTGTTGTGAATCACAATTCTAGTTTCTGGAATTTGACTGGGAAGAAACTTGTCGTCCAGCTCAAATTGAGATACATAGAATTCTGTAGATACACCCTGTTGACCAGTAGATGGTATGTTGGACGGCACCTCTGATGTAGTTTTCCCCTCTCCTCTATACTCCAAACATTGATCATTAAGCACTTGTTTCTGTTAGTTGTATGTATCATTGTTAGTGTATTAACTTAATGTTACTATATAGTTAAATACATATAAGTGTAGTAAGAAAATAGATTTTGGTAATGGAAATGGGAGTTTGAAATACATTACACATATTCAAGAAATACAAATCAGAATACATCAAAATATAGTTGAATATGTTTAAATACAGTAGTTAATTCCATTTACATATTAAGGTTAACACATATATGAATACAGCTAAATACATGTGTTGGCCGATGCATTTATCAGTTTAGTGAGGCAGTTAAAGGCTAGTCGAATACATACAACATTTATAAATACAATTATTTAATTATAACAACAAGCAGGAGATATAAACAAATGCTCAATATGTTAAGAATGGTATACCTCAACATTATCTCTGACATCTGTGTCAATGTCATCATCACGTCTCCCTATGGATTCCTTTCTTTGGTGTAAACTTTCAGTTTGCTGATTTTGTTGAAGATGGTCAGAAAGATTCTTGAAGTTATCATTGATCAGTATTCTTAGAGACTTGAACTCTCCCACAACCTTAACAATACAAAAATAATTATAAGATTGCGCCAAAAATATATGAATGCTATTCATTAAAATGTAATGTTTAATTTGTTAAATACTCACGTATTCTTTGAATGAATTTAGGTCTTTCCTCAAAGAAGATACTTCGTCATTTTGGGAATCTTGCAGCTGATTGTCATGCAAAACTTTATGTCCAAATTCGGATACACAAACAGGAGGAATCTTGGGTTGATATTCTGTTTCGTTAGGATGCCTTTCGTGTTCCTTGCGCTTTTTATGGGGCGGTGATGAAGATGGACCAACACTTGCAACATGTTTCTTCTTACATTGAAGCTCGGGGTAGGAGAAAAGTCATCTGAATCATCTCCCGATTTGTCTGAATGAGCAGGGGAAGGTCTCTTCTCAACATCGACGCCTATAGGAGGATTCTGAATAATGGCAAGCTCTATATCGCTTGGACTGATGTCCTTGTAAACAATCTGAAAAACGAAATATAATCAAAGCCTTACTAGAAACATGCAAATGCAGATCTGGAATACAAACTGAAATTTGTATTGAATATAAAATGCAATTGTATACAAATGCAGATCTGGCAGCACTAATGATTTGGAAATAATATGCAATTGTATGAAGAATTAATAATGTAGGCTACAACAGCTATATATTGCCGTATGCATATGAATGCATTTCTATGCATTAGATGTATTCAAATGTATACAGTTTTTGTATGCATTTGTATACAAGTGTATGCAGCTGTTTATTAGTCCTTATGCATTTGTATACATGTATCTTGACTTTGTATGCAAGTATTTATATATGTAAGCATATGTATACAAATGTATATTACTGTATGCATCCCCTGAAAATGAATGCAGTCTCTTGTATGCAAATGTATGAGTAGTCTGGATGCAACATATTTGTGAGAATATGACAGCTGCCTGCAGCAGGTATTACATCACCAAAAATATATATGAATGCAACTGCATACTTCTATATGCAAATGTATGCCTATTAATTATTACTAAAATATAAACTATCAATGATACAATTTGTATATTACCATGTTCCCGGTGTCATTGAACATGCCGTTCATCAGATAAGCAAAGGTTGGCTGATATCCGGTGGTTCTCCAATTGAGTATTCTGGGGACCATGTCATCAACTCGGAGTGCAATTTTGGAATCAACAACTGAACAACACTCATAAAACCACACTTGCATAGCCAGTGGCATCCCAGCTATCATGTAATACTTCTTCTCAGCATCCATCTTCATGCTAATCGATTTTGTTAGCATTTCAAATGCTTTTAAACCCCAATGATATTCAGAATAGCGCCCACTCTCTGTAGCCTTGGTATAGTTGTACTATTCTTCTCGGATGAAAAAAATGAAGGTGTGTATGAAATACAACAAAGATATCTTCAAGGCATCACCATCATTGTCGGGACCCCAGTTCTTGTCAGCAAAGCATTTCATCAATTGTTCCTTCTTGACAAGATTAACACCTCCAAAGTAAGTCTCAATAAGCCGGTTAGGAAACTTTTCACTAAACTCAAAATTTTCATCATTACCAACACATTTGAGGCTAGTCACAATCGCAAGCTCCCTTAATGTGAAATGTAATGAAGTACCATTGACGTGTAATGCAAATACATTGTTAGGAGTGCCTTCTAACTGAGAGCCATGAAGCATCTGAAGAGTTGATGTTGAACTTCACAACGCTTCATTTGAAGAAATGAGCCAAAGCAAGTATTGTCAAGTTGTTGGTACTGATCAGGAGTAAGGTTCTCTTTTAGCTGGGAGACTATATCAGTATTGTGAGCACGTAATTTTTGCTTCACGAGACAATCGCTCCAAAAGAAATAAAAAATAACAACAATTGATCCCGTTG